TCTTTCCCTTGCCATCCCTGAGCCAACCTTCGCCAAGCCCTGGTGATCCTGTCTCCTAAACAGCCTCGAGTCCATCGACTACTGTCACAATGAGGAGCCAGAGTGACCTTTACAAACACAGATCAGATGGGACTATTCCCTGCCTGAAACTCTTCCATGGCTTCCCTCCACTCTTTGGCTAGGCTTGAATCCTTGGCATGACCGATGAGGCCCGATGGCCTGACCCTGCCTGCCTGTCCAACCTCATCTCCCAACTCTCCCTCTCTCCCCTACACAAGCCCCGTGAGAGCAACTGTTGATAACTGTCGCCTCTTCAGGGGAAGGCAAATCCAACACTGTAAGTGAGGCATGGTGGAGAAAGAGAGTGTTGTACACCTGTTTGTATTCTAGGTTGCTAACACCGGACTTCGGGTCACAGTGGGGCTAAAAAATATTTGTTAAATCAATTCGTAAGCCAGAGACAAATATGACGAAATATAATACTGGCACTCTGCGTCTATGTAGCTTTGCACTGCAAATTATCAAATGCTGAGTAAGTCTCACGTTTAGGTATTTATTCCTCTTCTCATCCACTATCTCCTCCTGTGGGCAACCAGAGGTCTAATGGCAAGTTTGAAGGTCGAAAACTGAAGGCTGGGCTCCAAGGCAGAGCTAGAAAACAGCTCTGGTCTGTGGAGCTGACTGTATGCTCTGAGAAGCAAACAAACCAACACTGGGAGGTGTGCTCTCCTGAGAAGATCCCTATCGACATTTTACCTCTGACCTTGCAAGATTCTCCAACCTTTGGCCAAACAGGTCTTTCAGTGACTGCAAGATTAAAGCTCCTCCAGTTTTAAGACTTCACACATGCCCTTCCCCAACGGCGGTAGCTCTTTATCCAATCTAACTCAACTCGGTCTGTAAAGGCTCAGTTAACTGTTCTTTGCTCAGGAAGGCCTTCCACCTCCCCTGCAGTGACCCCAATACGCACTCTCATAGCACTCTGCCATCTTCCGCAGCGCATGGCACGACTGTTCACTAGCGCGGGGGCTTCTGTGCATGTACTCAAGTGTCCTTACTTCTTTCATGAGTCAGAGAGACAGAGAGAGAGCACCCCCAACAGGGACTAGATGCTACAATCTGCCCGATTACACTGGTGGATTCTAGGAGGTCTCTGGACACGAACACAGAACATCCCCATGTGGGTCGGCTTTGCAGCTCACGTGTCACTACTGCACCGCGGTCTGGCCCCTGTGGTTTCTGTTATTTTTTTAAAGACAGGGTCTTGCTGTGTGGAGCTCCACCTGCCTTAAATTCCTGAGCAGCTGGGATTAGTGGCCCATGCTACTGCACCTAGCTGTCGGGTCGGACCAGGGACCAGGAATCAAACCCAGGCGCCCCATGTGGTCCCAACCCGTGGCGCACAGCATCTCGGCAGTGTGAGCCACAGCAGCGGGGCCCGGTATCTAGTTTTAATCATCTACACGCTGTTGTACGAGTGAACTGAACTGACACCAGCTGTGGCCCTCCACTCGTCCACTACACCCTGAATACCCGCCTCGAGCAGGAGTTAGATTTCCCTGTGGCAGTCACTTGGGCCCTCCAGCTGAGATGACAGCCTGAGCCATAGCCTTTAACAACAGGAAGGCTCACAACCTTTGACCCCAGAGCAGTCATGACTCCCTCCCCAAGTGTCCACATCTGCCCAAGGTGGCTTGCTTCCCCCCAAGTCCGCCCTGTTGTTTGGCTTCTTTACAAAGTTCCAGCTCACTGTGGGAGGGTGTGGAGAACAGAGTGTACAGCTACAGAAGGGAGGTAGTTTGTTCACCTGACCTTTCCTCCCATACTGTAACTAATCTTTTGATATTAAACTTTTAAAAATAATTTTATCATCATTATCACTTCTTTTTGAATTTGCTACAGTGTATGTGAAAGAGAGAGAGAGAGAGAGAGACCAAGAATGAAAGCCACCAGGTCCAGGACTTAAACCGTGGTCGGCCATATGGGAGTCCAGCACCTTAACCACCACACCACCTGCCGGCCTTGATATTAAAATTTTATCAAATCTTCTATGGAACTGTCTGCTTCACTTCTTGGTCTCAGAGCTCTGCTGAAATCTGTCTGTGTCTCTTGTTAGATATGTAAGCAGAGGACAAGGGCTGTACCTGTGATGGTCACCGCTGTGTCCCCAACACTCAGGCATGCTCGTAACAGCACTTTTCCCTTGGATAAATGACAGTGTGTGTGCCATAAATGAGCTCGCAGTAACTGTCGGTTTAGTGTACCTACAATCCCCTGGAGTCAGTCTACAATCCAGAAAAGAACTAGAATAAAGACCCTTTCCAATGGCATCAATGCTTATTTCAGTGTCTGCATTTTCCACAGCGAAAGAAACCCTCACCTATCCCATTAGCCAATGTCCTGGATTAAAATGTATAATCCCCTAAAGCCCGAAACGTTGCAAAGGAGAAGATATTTAACAAATTAGTGGTTCTTTGTTTCCTAAAAAAGATTAATTTAGCAAAGCACAATTTATGTATATCCATTTTTTAATTATTTAATTTTTTTAAACTTTACTGATTAAAATTAATCTGACCAGGGTTGGGGGAGAGAGAGGAGAGATAGAAAGCAAGAAAGCAGACGGCCAGGTCCAGGACTCGATCTGTGGTTGTAACCTGTAACCACCACACAACTGCCAGCTCCTGTATATCCACTTTTGCAATGCCTCAGTTTAGGGAACCAGCAGTTAGCGTAATGGCTATGTTGCTAGACTCCCACGTAGTCGACCGCGGTTCGCATCCCAGACCTGGTGGCTTAAAACTCATGCCGGGTGCGTGTGCCCAAGATCCCGAGAGGAGAATGGAGGAGAAGGGATTGCGGCGTGACCATCCCCCCTGGGGGGTGATTTCTTGCTTTCTGTCTCTCTGTCTGGCAAGCTCACGCACCCTATAGCGAAAAAAAACTCTCAAAAAAAAAAAAAAAAGAATGCCTCAGTTTGAAGCAAACCCTACGGAGATTACATAGCTTTCAGTCAATGTAATTTGAAAGCATCACCACATTGCTTTTGGGATTAACAGGCATCCTGGGGAACACCAGCAGAAAGGCACATTGTTGTGGTGGGGAGAAATAAAAATATCTAAAACAGGTACCCTGGTGGGTGTTCAAAGAAGTTAATCCATGGGACCAGAAGATGGAATAATTCTGTTGCTGGACTCCCATGTAGTCAGCCAGTTCCAGTCCCAGACCCAGCAGCTTAAAACACACTGGGCACGTGTGTGTGCACCCAGAAATTTCAAGAGAAGGGATTGTGGCGTGGCCATTACCACTCCCCCTCCAAGGGGTGATTTCTTGCTTTCTGTCTCTCTGGCAAGTGAATGGAAAAATCTCTTTAAAAAAAAAAAGTTAATTCCCCTCCCTGCATTTCTGAAAATTAAATCTTTTTTCCTAATTTTAATTCTGTATCACTAAGCTAAGGATCTCTTTTCCCATCTACCACTTCTCCAGAAACTGAGTTAATTCTTTTTTCTCCCCTATACAGGTCAGAAGACATGAAAAATGCTTCCTGGTAATTCCATTCAAGAAGTGCAGGTCCAGCAGGTGGCCTGCCAAGGTGACTGGATCCCACACAGCTGACTACACACTCCAAGTCCCGGACCCAGAGGTTTGAAAAACACACGGTCCACCTGTGTGAGCATGCACATTAGGGAATGCTTTCTCTTTCTCATGAGCTCTTGTGGCCTCTGGTACAAAATTTCTAAATATATGTGTGTGTCGGCCCAAAAGTTACTTCTCCACTCTCAAGTCACTGTACCAAAGGTTTAGGAGCCGAAGAGAACGATACCGGGCACCACTGGCTGGTCACCTATGTGCCAGTGGCTGAGTACTGTGCACGCACGACCTTACGGGAGGGCGTGTTACCCCCAACTTGTGGCTGCAGAAACAGACGAGGGGCGTTTCAGACATCTGCCCACCGCAAGGGAGCGGCAGGGCGAGGCCT